TGCCTAACCAAATAACATAGTATTTGACAAAACAGATAATAGTTATGATGCGGAAAGAAACAACGCATATTTGCTAAGGACACTTTGAATTTCAAATAATGCACCCCAAATTTTTCGAATCACATAATAGACATCGAATTCAAGCTTTTTATTAGCAATATATTGACGGTGATGATATATAGAATGGACAATGTTTAGTGGGGGATCTTAAGTTAAACAAATTATTTACTAGACTTAGGGTGTGTTTGTTTCGCGAAAAATAAACAGTTTGGAAAACATTTTCCTAAATATAATTGCTTGTATCGCTTACAAGAATGAACAAGCGAAAAAAAAAATTTGATCATCCGCGAAAATATTTAGACATAAATTGTTATCCATAATGAAATATCTTTCATTGATTAATTATTTCAAGTGATACAAACGATCAGTTTTAGGAAAATATTTTCTAAATCATTCATTTTCCGCAAAATAAACAGAGCATTAATTGAATCATGGTAAAACTATATCATTAGCTGAGAAAATAGCCATCCACATGAGTGTATTCCCATAACATGTTCTCAAGCGAGGTCATTATATGTTTTGCTATATCCCCCTTAACTTTGAATGTAGAACAAGACATTTATCGATAGCTCTCTATAAACATGAATATCATTTTATTCACCACAATTACAATAAAAGAAATTGCACTAAACTTACCATTTCGAACTTTTAAATATTACCTAATCCAACCTCAAGCCGTCGCCGTCACGAGATATTGATTATTCACTTTGCATTAGATTCTTTCACCTCTTTGGTTTCATGAATTTGGCTCTATATATCTGATTCATGAGGCAATGATAATTCGTCATGAGTTTTTCTCAGTGTAGGACTATTGACATAAATGATTTATGGTGGATAAGTTAAGCAAAAGTTTTGTTATGAAAGATTGCACTTTATAAAGTTACTTTTGGCACATGCATCAATTAAGAATGAATAGAGTATATGAATAATAGTCTGTTTAAGTGAATTAATTAGAAGTAGTCGAAGACACTTCACCAATTGAATAGAAGTAGTTGCTTGCTTGTGGCTTTCTTAAAAATCTGGTCTACATGATCCTCGGAAAAAGAACAATACGAATAGAATTTGCACTAAAGTATAGTTTATGCATTATATGTAATACAATAGAGTGCTACTGGCTTTGGAATTTAAACGATAGATGGAAGTTATAAAGAAAGAAATCTCCCTCCTTTCAAGATAGAGTACCGCGGACGGAAACAAGTTTGACCACGCAACTTGTTTGGCAGTAACAACCTTAGATATAATAGAAAGACACAATAGAGGAATAGTAGTTGAAAAAGGAGAAAGTATTCGGGTGGCGAGCAAGTACCACGTCATCGGCTGACGTGGTAGTTATTCTTTTTTTCACCGTCACAATAAGTATGACTCACATCACAGTACAACGTCAGCAGCTTACACGGAATAAAAAAATTAAAAGTCTGCCCATTCTCTCTTCTTCCTCCACAGTCAGCTGACCTCACATCACAGTACCACATCACATTATAACATCAGCAGCTTACAATGAATAAAAAATTAAAAATATGTGCCCCCACCATCGCCCCAGTTGAGTCGCCAGCACCGCGTCCAGGCCGACCTCTGCCGCGTCCAGTTGCCACCTCCTCCGTTGTCTTTGTGACTCGCCCGTGAGGCAACGGCTACGGGCTTCTGCGAGAAGGTGTAAGGGCAAATACAAGCTTCTCTTTTGAAGTTCTTTTGGTTCTGAAAGAACTCACATCTGTGGAAGCTAAAAGATTTCAAAAATGTCTGGTTTAAGCTACTCAGATTTGCCCATCCAGGTCTCCATGACCATCCAACTAGAACTCCAAGAATGACCGAAGTCCATATACAAGCCACCAACATCAAGGCCTCACCCAGAAACGCCCCGCTCGTTGCTCCTCTCAGAATCTCCAGAATTATAACCACAACAGACTCAAAAAAATGGAAAATGCGACATGTCATTGATTTACTATAAACTGCCAAACCGCCTGATTCGCTGGCAAAATGAAGTCAGCAAGCGAGCGTGTAAATGACATCGTTTGGCTCATTTGTTCGCCCAATATTATTGAATTAGGGCAAAATTAGGTGTGTTCTTCAAAACCTAACCCCAATTTGAGGAATTGGGGCAAAATTACCTTCCAAAATTTGCAATAGAGAGCAAGAGCAGGAGAAACAGCTCACGATTATGTCAGTCACGATCGCAATGCTTACATACCAAGGTAATTCGAGTTTGTTTATGCGCTGAAGAGTGCTTGTGTGTGTCTGTGGATGCGTGCCAGTGAAAAGTAAATACTATTATATTATAATTGCATTTGAGTGAATGATAAAGTAGTTGTGATACAAAAAGAATCATCACATCAATGTGGCAAAACTATAACAAGTTTGAAAGTCATAAGAACTTGATAATAAGATCATTTCACTATTTTCATTTGTGCAACAGATCCGGTACGATTCTAGTAATGTATTGTTAGGAATCGTATTCGTAAGATATTTTCAGATCATAATTATATGAGAGAACATTAAAAAACAGCTCGTGCTTGGCATGGGAATTGAGCTTGTCGTATTGAAAAGTCAAAGCCTAGAAACGGACGAGGAAAACACATATTTATGATTAGCCATTGACCCGGGCGCTGTGTAGGTCAATTTAAAAAGAAAAAAAGGTAGATGAGTACCTTAGTCATCTTAAATGAATTAATTAGAAGTAGTTGAGCAGACTGAGACGTTCCACCAATTGCGCAGAAGTTGTTTGCTTGTAGCTCTTTAAGGAATCTGGCCAATATGACCTTGGATCTTCACCCAAAAAGCATAATATATAATAGAGTTTAATGCTACTGGCCTTGGAATTTAAGCAACGCATGGAAGTCTACCCTTGTTTGACAGCGACACAACCTTAAATATTAACAATAGCAGAAACAATCCGTGAGAAGACTTAGGGCCAAAACGAAACAAAAGAGATCGAAAGAGAACTTTGTGCTGACGAAAGTTAAACTGTAGAGGACCAGTCGAAGGCAACGCAAGAAAAGAACTCGTGCTGCAGCATATACTTGTGAAGCCCGCAAATGTGTAATAACTCTAATCTAGAAGTGCGCAGAGCAAAAGTTGAGTTGATTTACCTCCGGCTTTCAAGTGCTCTCAGTTGACTTCGAAGCGAGCAGTCGGACCAAGGTCAATAGCTCGCAAACCACCAAATATTTTCTCCTGTTTCTTGGTCTCAACTCATCTTTTTCCATGGAGGTGAACGAGTAACATCATGGCATCAGCCCCAATTGTATACACTCCGCGGACGGTCATACTTATGGGCACCACATAGGTCGAGACATGGGCATTCATTGCACGGAAGACGGCCGAGTCGATCGGCTCTTCAACGGCACACCGGATTGTCCTGATTCGACCCTTTTATTGTCCGGAACTCCCACTGGTAGGCCGCGACGCCATTGATTATAATTCCTAGCCTTTGATGGAAAAATTAGATAGGGATGAGAAATGCCGTCATTCTGAGGATCGTTTTTAGTTTGTGATCATAATCACTTTAGACAATAGTGCTAACCGGCGAATAAGGGGAAAACCTAGTCCTAGATAACTACTGACGAGACAACGCTGTCTAATTTCTCCCCCCAAAAACAAGTAATATTAAAGTAGAGTAAAAATATTGACCTTAAAGAAGGGGCAAATATCATTGACCTTGCCCCGCACCGGCTCTTGGGCAATACACGAAACTCCCACATTTATATAAATTTTATTAATCTAACCTATAAAATTAATATAAAAGCACATGATGGAAGAAACAGTTATTTTGTTGTAGAAGTAACCGGTACAACAAATTCCGGAATCTATTTAACAAAATAAAATAGGGAAAATTATCTAAAAAGTCCTAAACCTATTGTATTTTTGCCAATTTAGTCATAAATCTTTTAAGTTTGTCAATTGAGTCCTAAATCTTTTCACTTATTGCCAATTTAGTCCATCCGGCCAATTTTGGCCTTTTGGAGCTGACGTGGACCTGGCCGGTGCCGGCCGTCCTGCCAACGCTGACGTTGTAATTTTAAATTATTTTTTTCGTTTTTTTTTAAATTTTTTTCGATTTTTTTTTGCCTTCTTTCCTTTGGCCGGCGAGGATCGGCTAGAGGCGAAGGCCGACGAGGTCGACCTCGCTGGCCTTTGGCGAAGCTCGGCCTCGCCGGTCACTAGGGAGGGCGAGGTCGGCCTTGCCAGATCTGGGGGAGGTCAAGCCTCGCCCAGCCAAGGCGAGGCCGACCTTGCCGTTGCGACTCAGGCAGGGAGCTGGGTCGCGACGGCGAGGTCGGTCTCACCTTGGCTAGGCGAGGCTTGACCTCGCCTAGCCAGGGGCCGAAGAGGCTCGCCCTCGCTAGTGGCCGGCGGGGGTGAGCTTCACCAGAGGCCAGCGAGGTCGACCTTGCCGGCCCTCGCATCTGGCCAGTCGTTGGATCGGCCAGAGGGAAGAAATAAAAAAAAAGAAAACAAATTAGAAAAAAAATATTAAAAAATTGCTACATCAACGATGGCCAGATGGACTTAATTGACAAGAAATAAAAATGTTTAGGACTGAATTGGCAAACTTAAAAGGTTTAGGATTGAATTGATAAAAGTACAATAGGTTTAAGACTTTTTGGACAATTTTCCCAAGTAAGATATCTTGTAAGTGAATCAATTTTCATACTCTATCTCAACTTGATCAAGCAATGAAATTACTCGTTTAAAAAAGAACTACCTTAATTTGCACAGTCCAAGAGTTGACTCACTTAGATCTATCTACCAATGCAGTCTATATATAAATCAAAGTATTTCCAAACTCGAGCTCGACTATGGAGCTACCTAAATCTAATTGCTTTCAAATGCAAGCTCCACTTGATCAAGTAATCAAGTAATTCAAGCCCGAGAACAGTTTAGCTTAGTTTCTTTTTTTTTTTTGTCGAAACAATTTAGCTTAGTTTAAACATTTCAAAACGATGGCAAAACCGCACGTAAAGGTGGCTGTGATTGGAGCCGGCATGTCGGGTCTTGTTGCAGCCAGGGAGCTCCGTCGCGAGGGGCACCGAGTGGTTGTGTTCGAGAGTAGCAATGATGTCGGTGGCACTTGGCTGTATGACCCTCGGGTCGAAACTGACCCGCTGGGGTCTGATCCGGACCGCGAGGTTGTCCATGCCAGCATATACCAGTCGCTCCGGACGAACCTCCCAAGGCAACTCATGGGTTTCTCGGACTACCCATTTCTCGAGAAGGGATGTGGGGACCCCAGGACCTTCCCGGGTCACCAGGAGGTGCTCCGGTTCTTCCGCCGCTTTGCGGAGGATTTCGGGCTGATTGAGTTGATTCGGTTCAAGCACAAAGTGGTTCGGGTTGAGCATGCAATCGACGGGAGGCGGGACGAGTGGGCTGTGGAGTGGCGGACGTGCAATGGGGAGGAGGCGGCGGGCGTGGATGTTTTTGAGGCTGTGGTGGTTTGTAACGGCAAGCACACCCAACCAAAGATTGCTGAATTTCCAGGTACAATCGTCCGAAGTAATGTTATCATTGTCGAATTGCTTCTCTTTGTCAGTATCTGTTTTTTCATTTCTTTTGTCTGAATTTGTTGTCATCGGTTTTGGTAGTCGAGTAAACACCAATTAGGGATCGCAACTATACTGCTTAGCAACCCATTCAGGTATAGGTTTACCATCAAGAGACTTTGGAAGGAGTTCATCAGCATCTGACAGTCAAAAAGTAGATCACGAACTTCCCAAGGAGACGAGCTATTTTCTGCAGCACCCTTAACTAGGGTTAGAGGGTCTGACTCCCCACAATAGGGATTATCTCTTTCAAACAACGCAATACTCTTGGCATGGAGAGCAGAATAGCATCTAGGTCATGAGGTAAAACCATAATCTCTACAAAACACGCCATAGTTCCTTCATGAATTTCTTCTCTAAAAGCTGCATCGATGTTCACCTTAATTGTGGTACCTACTGGAGAAATCCATCCACCATCGTGCTGCCCTCAAGAGGAACCAGGGTTTTAACCAGAAGCATCGGCGAAGTTGCAGAGTAGTTGGGCCTGAAACATCACCATCTTCTCTTGCCTGAAATTTTTTTGCACGAACCCCTGTTCGATTCGAGCAAGACCAGTCACATAGATGATAGATCTGCAGTTGAAGTGAGCTATGATTCGATATTTGGGCAATGATAGCTTAAACCACGAAAGTTTACTCTATCATTAGCATTAAGATTCCAAGAGCAAATTTAAATGTTATAATTACGTAAAGTAAACTAGTTAGTAATTAATTATGTATCACTATATATGTTATGTAGTTATTTTAATATAAGTCTAGATCACATGTATTAATAGCTTTGTTATACCGATTACCGTAACTTGTAACGTAGTTGCCTCTTTTCATTAAAGGAGCTTTTGAGAATTTTATAGTAGTGTGTATAATAGGGAATTAATAATTAGCAATCATTTAAATTGTTATGTATCAAAATATACATTGTTTGAGAATGTTGTAGCACGTAGGGTTGAGCAAGATTGACCGCCCAAATCGGGACCGGACCGGACCGACCGGTTTGGTCCGGTTCTATGGAATATCGATCCGGTTCCCGGTTCCTAAAAGTGGAACCGGTTTCCGGACGGTCCGATTCCTGGTCTAGGGTAGGAACCGGATTAGACCGAACCGATTGGTTTGGTTCGGTTCTCGAGAATATTAGTCCGGTTCCCGGTTCCTAAAAGTGGAACCGGTTTTCGGGCGGTTCGGTTCCCGGTTCTAGGGTGGGAACCGGACCGGACCAAACAGGACCATTCCGGTTCGGTCCACGGTCCCAAGACTAGCCGGTCCAGTCTCCGGTCCTAGAAACTGGGAACCGGTCCTCCCGGTCCGGTTCCCGGTTTTTGGGTTAGACCGGACCGGATCAGGGACCGCTCACCCCTAGTAGCACAATGCCCTTTTAAATTACATCATCAAGTGTTTTGTTGTATAAGTAAACTTATTTTATCATACCAAATGTAAATCTTTGCTAAAAACTTTTTTGTGCTATAAAAAAAGGCAAATTTTTTGCTTTTCTCCTTATTGATTGAGATATTAAAAACTGATAATTCTAAATATTAAAAAAAACCACGTAGATGATTACTTGGCACAAAGTCCAATAGATAAATAAGATCGAAAGTGCCCTCTTTTGGAAAGCAAATTTATAAAGAATGAGGGTTTGGGAAAAAACTTTGAAAAAATTTAATATTTTTCGGTATTTATCTTGGTTAAGAGAAAAGATATCTTATGTATATAAGACATCCAATATAAGTATAGTGAATTGGGCAACTTCTATTTTATCAATTTCAAAGTAGTCATAATTCCATTCCTGTGCTCTATCTTGGAGTCATTTGAGGAGTATTTTCTGAATATGAGTCAAGATGCAAGAGTAGTGAGGATTATTCATGTGTTCAAACTTGTCAAACACAAAGATAGAATTACATGAGTTAAACTCATTTGCAAACAGGTGGACCTATGTTTTAAAATAATCTACTTAAAATGTCGGATTGCATTATGAAAAATGAATTACATGAACTCGACACATATGCTTCTTTGGAATAGTTTTCTCGTCTTTTTCTGTAATTATATGTATACTATACGATTCTGAAGTCTCTCTTTATTGTTAATTTACTTTCTAATTAGAAAAATCATTTTCACAGGGAGATCAACATGGCCAGGAGAACAACTACACAGTCGTAATTATCGAGTTCCCGAGCCATATAAAGATAAGGTATGATCGATATGCCTTCTTTATTTTCCGCAAACATAATCTCGAATTAACTTATGAAGTTTCTTGGATTACATGCAACAATCAAATGATTTACGTAAGCCAACCCTCGAAAGAGAGTATTAAGTGTTGTTCATTAGGGGCGAGTTTTTACTTGATGAAAATATCACAAGCACACTCTCATGACTAGAGAGATGTTATGAATTCCTCTATATAAAACACTGACATCCTTCTCAGGAGTAGCTTCCATTGTCCAATTATACATTCATTATATAACATGTGATTCGGTTCATTCCTGCTCTCTTCACTATTCTAACTAGAAAACTATGAGGAGTGTGCTTTGTCTACATTTTCCAGCCCTCAAGGATTACTCCCTGCCTTCCTCGGGATGGCTGGGACTTAATTGGTCCTTGAAATACACATCTAGTTCCTACTTCGGCCTGGTATACACGAGTCAAGTCGTCGAAAAGTATACCTCAGTGATGATCTTTTCAGTTGGAAGTGTCCTTACTCATGAATCACAACGCAAATACTTTCTCGTAACTTACAATAACGTCGTATGCGCCTTCAACTGACAACTCCCTCCCATTATGTTTATGTATGAATTGTTTTTCATTATTTTGCACGACAGATTGTGGTGATAATAGGAAAAGGGATTAGCGCAATCGAAATAGCCAAAGACATCTTACCTTTTGCCAGAGAAGTTCATCAAGCCTCAAGAGAAACAAATGCCCATGTCCTGAAATTGAGAAAACTCGATGGGGTCTTCCCACATACCATGGTACCTTACATTCAATTGTATCCTCTTTTTGTTTTTTTTCCTAATTGCAACTAAGTTTAGATAAGAATCCAAGTGCAGCCTTAAGAGTGCTAATTCCCATTCTCAAATATTAAGTGGTGTGATCATCCCCAATCTGATCTCATATCATTAAGCTGGTTGTCTTTTGGCAGATTGCACGCGGGGAAGAAGATGGTAGATTAGTTTTCCAGGATGGATCGTCTGTATATGCAGATGTTATTATCCATTGCACTGGGTACCAAAAACCATTTAGTTTTCCGCTGTTACTTATTCGTTTATTTATTACAAATTCCACCAGTAATTTCACATATGCCTGATAATAAATATGCATATACGGTGTTGTATCTTGCCAGACTTGCCTGATGTATATGATTCTCATGTTGCAGATATAGTTACCATTTCCCATTTCTGAAGACGAAGGGACTTGTGAGTGTGGACAACAACTGCGTGGGGCCTTTGTATAAACATGTTTTCCCACCAAGCCTAGCTCCACGGCTCTCTTTCATTGACATACCCTTTCTGGTATAAATTTTTATATAAATTATTTTATCTTCCATCGTGTAGACTAACTAGAGATTAAGGTTCTGCCAGAAGAAAGTCAACTGATATATGATAGTAAAAGGTCACACTTAGTACATGTTTTGAGCCAAACTAACAACTTTTTCTAAAGCAATTAGAGAACCGGTCACTGATTGCTTACAGTTAAAGTCCAAAGATGTAAGGATTAACCTTTCACAATAGATGAAAATGCAAAGATAAAAAAGGAAACACTTCTAATTTGGCAGTTTTATGCCATAGTTATGGTTTGGACATTTCATCAAAACATGATTTTAGAATTATGGAAGCAATTTAATGTATTTGCGTGGGTTCCAGTTCGCTAATTCTTTGGTTTAATTCCTTTTTCTCACATTCTCTCCATCGGTCTCGACCGGGATTAGACTGTTCATGCATACCATAGCGAGTTACAGTCAAAGTGGGTGGCCAAGGTTCTATCTGGAGAATTGGTGTTGCCAAGTGAAGAAGAGATGATGTCTTCTGTTCAAGAACATTACCAGCGCATCGAAGAACTGGGATGGCCTAAGCGTCACACTCACAAGCTTGAAATGGAAAAGGTTGAAACTAACTTGTCATTCTTCAGTTCATATTGCTTGAATTTTTCAATAAATTGGACACCTCATAAAGTTAAAAAGACAATACTTTTTCGATTACAATTAGTTCCACTGCTAGTGTAACAAAAGATTTAAACGGTTACTATTGGATGAATGACGTGTGTTTTTAGAGTTGGTTTTCTTACCGAATTCTTCCGTATGTCAATTATCCAACGGTAATTGTGCGAAGCATTTCTTAAGCCAGCACTAGACCTATTTTTCTCCCACCTGACATGAACCTAGTACGTATACTATACTCAATTTGGAACGTCAAATCTGGTACGACACACGTGAGACTGACCATCTTCAATGATCCATATTCAATTTAGTAAATATGTTGCACTCATATAATAATTTATCCTGATAGTGGGCAAAATCCGCAATAGAGCACAATAATAGTATGATCCCCACCAATTCTTTTGAACTATGTTGGCTGAGGACCATTTTATTAACTATGAAAATGAGGCTACTTTAATTTTTTTTTGTTTCCCATACGAAGAAGTTGATCTTATTTTTCATGTGCTTGATAGTTTGAGTATGAGAAGTGGCTTGTGGGTCAATTGGGACTACCACCATTCGAACAATGGAGAGAGAAGATGGGCTTTGCTGTATTCAAATTCCTGCAATCTTCTGATCAAAATTGGCGTGACACTTGGGACGTTGAAAAGTGGATGCAAGAAGAAGGATTTGGCAAGCAAAGTCATTGATTTTGAACATCCTTCAGAATACTTGTAACCACTGGAAAGAGAATTGCAAGAGAGTTTAGAGAGAGCAACAAAGAGTTTGGTTTCGATGTGGAACATTTGTTACCCGTTAATGCTTTGCTCATATAACTATATGTATATTTTGAATTGCATTGTTTGCGCTTCAAATGAAAAAAAAAAATTAGAATAATATAACAGGTATTATTAGATACAACTATTTTTCGATATTGCAAATAATGTCATGCATTTTGAGGGCACATAAATTTACTCCGGATTTGGCTTCGCCATCAATTCAATCGTGAAACTATTTGGAGAAAATAAACGTGCCGATAGTGCGAAAATATATTACTTTGTGAAGATTATTTGCCTTTATTATCTAGTAATTGCTGTATCAACGCTGATAAAATGACAATAATATTTTTTTGGTTAAAGCGGTAGGGGGTGTCTAGGTTAGCTTTTGTGCGCCATAACTAGTCCACCTCCCGAGACGATCTTAAGGGTATACTCCCCGTGTCGGTCTAGTTCTTTCAGATTTGAATTCTCTATCACTACAAAAAAAACAAGGATTTAGCCACGGAAATTAGCGACGAAAAATTATTCGTCGCTAATTTGCGATGAAAAAAAAATTCGTCGCAAATTAGCGACGAAAAAAAAATTCATCGCAAATTAGCGTTAGAATTTCCGAAGAAAAAAAAATTCGTCGCAAATTAGCGATGGAATTTGTGACGAAAAAAAAATTCGTCGCAAATTAGCAATGCAATTTGTGACAAAAAAAATTTTCGTTGCAAATTAGCAACGGAATTTGTGACGAAAACTGAATTCATCGCTAATTTGAGATGAAAAAAAAATTACTCAAATTCCCACGAAATCAAGAGCCAGGGAAAGGCCACATGCATCGTTCCGCAGAACCCAGAAAATAAAAAACACCCCCCATTGCCTCAACACATAAAAAACAACACAATGCGCAGAACCATCACAAACAAAAACCGGAGCACGAGGGAACAACAAACGGCGATTCAAACCCGACGCCCTCGCGAGACCCGGAACGAAAACCCAAGCTCGCCGTGAAGAACACGACGGCGCTTGGCGCCGAAAGGGGGAGGAACCGAGCAAGATTCTAGGGTTGGAGTCAAGCTACCAGTGCTGCGTACCTCGATGGATGATGGATCAGTGGGAGATTGCGAGGGCGAGCCACAACACTTTCTCTCTCTTCTGCGCCTATGCTCTTCGCCACAGATTTGGGCGACGGCGAGGTCGAGTGGCAGCCATGATGAGGCCGATCGGCCTCTCCCAGATTTGGGCGAGGTTGAGCGGTCTCGCCATGGCTGCTCGACCTCGCCGTCGCCACAGATCTGGGCGACGGTGAGGTTAAGTGGCCTCGCCATGGCTGCCGCTCGACCTCGCCCAGATCTAGGGGAGGCCGAGCAGGCTCGTCATGGCCGCTGCTCGACCTCGCTGTCGCCACGGATTTGGGTGACGGCGAGGTCGAGTGGTGGCCATGGCGAGGTCGCTCGGCCTCCCCCAGATCTGGGCAAAGTCGAGCGGCCTCGCCATTGCTGGCGAGGGCCAGCCTCGCCCATAGCCGACGAGGTCGAACTCGCTGGCCTCAGGTAGTCGCCGGACTGGCGAAGAAATAGGGAAAAAAATATAAATAAAATTCAAAAAATTATTAAAAAATTAGCGACGAATTTTGCCACGAATATAGTTTGTGGCTAATTAGCGACGAATTTTGCCACGATTAATTAGCAACGAATTTTGCCACGAATACAATTTGTGGCAAATTAGCGATGAGTTTTGCCACGAATATATTTCATCGCAATTTAGCGACGCCGAATTGGCGACGAAATTTTTTTCGTTGCAAATTCATTTAGCGACGAATTTTGCCAAATTTTTCGTGTCAAAATTCATTGCTAAAACCTACTTTTTTTGTAGTGTATACTCTAAAAAAGCTTAAACCCAAGACCACAAGAAAAGGAACGAACTCATCTAAGCCAACACCTTATTGATGGGTAAGCAGTTTTGCGGAAAAATAACCAAAAAATTCATTAACTTATTATACGAATATCAATTTAGTCATAAACCTTTTAATTTGGCCAATTTAGTCCTAAATCTTTTGACATTTGTTAATGTAGTACTTCCAGCTAATTTTGGCAGGAAATCGCCGATGTGGACGACGACTGTCCTACGTGGTATGGCTGGTACTGACATGGATAATTTTTACAATTTATTAAAATGAAATTTCTAAATTTTTTATTTTATTTTTCATTGTAGCAGACTAGGATCGTTGGCCATATCACGTAGAATGGCCGATGTCCACATCAGCGATTTTAGCGAGAAGGACTATATTAGCAAATTGTCAAATGTTTAGGATTAAATAGGCCAAATTGAAAGGTTTGGGACTTCTTTAATAATTATCCTCAATTTTATCGGCTTAGAATTATGTAGGTTCATTATATTCCCTTAATCAATCAGTCAGACGAAATTCCACGAACTTCGAATCATCAATTTTTTCCATAAATTGCAAGTGATTGTTATTAGCGACTTGGGTACATCATCGCCGTCCTTCTTTTGGATTGAATTTATTAGGTTTGTACATGCGAATTTCAAGTGATTGCATCGTCGAACTATCAAACCAATGGATTGCGATTCTTTTGACATTTGTTAATGTAGTACTTCCAGCTAATTTTGGCAGGAAATCGCCGATGTGGACGACGACTGTCCTACGTGGTATGGCTGGTACTGACATGGATAATTTTTACAATTTATTAAAATGAAATTTCTGAATTTTTTATTTTATTTTTCATTGTAGCAGTACTAGGATCGTTGGCCATATCACGTAGAATGGCCGATGTCCACATCAGAGATTTTAGCGAGAAGGACTATATTAGCAAATTGTCAAATGTTTAGGATTAAATAGGCCAAATTGAAAGGTTTGGGACTTCTTTAATAATTATCCTCAATTTTATCGGCTTAGAATTATGTAGGTTCATTATATTCCCTTAATCAATCAGTCAGACGAAATTCCACGAACTTCGAATCATCAATTTTTTCCATAAATTGCAAGTGATTGTTATTAGCGACTTGGGTACATCATCGCCGTCCTTCTTTTGGATTGAATTTATTAGGTTTGTACATGCGAATTTCAAGTGATTGCATCGTCGAACTATCAAACCAATGGATTGCGATTCAATTTTGTGTTTTAGCTTGTTAACTTAAAAGAAAATTTGACAAATTTGAATTGATTTCTCCAGAAATGGAGAATACGAAGTTTGGCTCCTTCAAGAGGGTAGGAAATTATCTGAGAATTAACCACTTTAAAAACTGATTTGTGGAGAATGATATTAATCTCTCGTCCACCGTCTCCAACTATCAAACACCAGCAAGTCCAAACCAAGAGTCTTTTCGCATCTTCCGTTGCACTCTTTAGCATTTTTTCTCGAGTTCAATTTGTTGGGGAAAAATTAAGCAATCGAGAAGAAAGATGAAATCAAACTTTAAAGCATGATAACACTCTATTTAAGAAATTATTTGTCCCATAACAATGCTAATAGTTAGTGGCAAAAATCCTCTAGGATACAACGTCTCAGAATAATAATACCAAATTGATAATACCATATAGCAACTATGGCATTTTTCTAAAAACTCTCAAAAACGAAATTGGAAAGAATGGTTGTATATCTTTTGAGAAAGAGACGAAAATTAAGAGAGGTAGTTATTGAACTAGAAACGTTGATAATAAATAGCGAAATCCTTTTGTGAACGAACATAGTATTTACAAAAAAAACACAACTATTCATTTTTTTAAGGACGAAAAACCCCAAACTGGTATACCTGTGACAAATTTTCCTCAAACTAATTTTACGACAACCAAAAACCCCAAACTGATACATTTGTGACAAATTTACCCAAAACTAATTTTTTGACTACTAAAAACTCCAAATTGGTACATTTGTAATAAATTTACCCTTCGTTAAATTAAATTAATAATTTGAAAAATCACGAACTAGTATACCACGAAGGGTTAAAACCCAAATTGGTGCACCTGTTAACTACCACACGTCATCCAACTTAACAATTTGACGGTATAATTTAACGAAAACTAACGGAGGGCAAATTTGTCACAAATGTACCAGTTTGGGGGTCAAAAAATTAGTTTGGGATAAATTTATCACTAGTATACCAGTTTGGAGTTTTTCGTGGTATTAACCATTTTTTAACTGTAATTAGAAATTAAAAATAAATAAAAAAATAACCATAACATAATCGCCACTCATATCTTTTTTATGTGGGATAAGACGACTCTTAGTTTGTAAAATAATCACCACTCACATCTTTTCGACGTGGGATAGGGACAAGGCACCTCTTGATTTGTTTTACAAATAAACTACCAACAATCCCTCATTTTGCTTGTAAAACAAAATTTTCTAAAATAAAATATAAAAAATATACAGCAAAAAAAATTTCGTAAGATTAATATACATACATAAGAGTCTCTTTCGAGTTAAACCTTTATTTAGTGCAAGTATCTTAAAATTCTGTAAAAGTTGCAAGCGGAGAGCGAAGGAGAAGTGAAGGCAGGGCAGAGTTGAGTGAAAAGGGGATGCTGGGCTGAAAGCAAAAGGGAGATTGGCTAGGCCGAGGGAAGGAAATAGGAGTGAAGAGAAAAACTGGGAGGGGTTGTGTGAGAAGAGGCCGGACCGAGAAGGAGCCCTAGAAAGGCTGGGTCGAGGGCTAGGCTCAAGCGAGTTGGGTCTTGCGAAAGGGCCGGGCTAAACCGGTCTCACTTGACTGAACCGACCCCTGATTTAATATTTTTTAAGGATATAATTTCTAATAACTTTACTATTTCACCTAATTGTCCCTCCTTTCGTTTTTTTATGGCGAAATCTCAACTGGCAAAATCAAGTGTCAACAAGGTCTAATAACCTAAGGCCTTTCATTAATTAAACTGTAATGGGCTAACTTTGTTTGAACTAAACTCAATAAAGCCTCCCATCTCTAGT